GTATATATAGCAAATTATAAATACAAGTTGAAAACTAACTCAAAATAATGCCAGCAAGTTTTGTTACTTCTCTCTTTCCTAAACAAGTATAAGCTGATAACATTGCTAAAAAACTACAAATATGAAATAGTCATACATTATAGAAAAACTTGCTCATACTATGGAAACATCTAAATTATTTCACCTATGTAAATAAATGGACTTAAATTTTTTGTCCATGAATAAGATATCCTATACTAACATACGCTCAAAGCTCCAAAGAGATTTTTTAAAACTCTCTCTCATAAATCATAAAATTTTCAAGAAGTATTTTGGCCTAAAATGTTTCATTCTTTGTCTCAGCCTAGATAAATATTTCAGAAATCTGGAAGAAAAAGTGCATTTCATAGTTGTTTGAGGTGTCTCAATATGGTTGAAAAGAGAAGAGATTTTCTCCACTCTTATTTGGGAATTTTGTACACATATTCACATGTGGCATAAATTTAAACTTTAAATTGGCATGTACAAGATCCTCTGTGAGGAAGTCACAGTGCAGAAATAAAAGCTGGCAATTTCTAATTTCTGAAGCAGAGCACAGAACATTTGCTTTCCTTAGTGGTGAGCCAGGCATTCATTCCAGCCAAATGTTTGCACTGTTATCCAAAGCCCAACTGAATAGGCACTGGCGAGTGAGACATAATTTGAAAGTTCCTTAGAAGGATGCAAACTAAATGAATAGTACACATTCCCATAAGATTTAAAAAATTACAGGACTGTGGAGAAGTAAATGTATACAGGTGAGCCTAGTATTTGGGGTCGCTTTTCCTCTAGGGACATCTGCTGATGAAATAGTTCAGAACTGAGCAGGGGTTTCAAAAGACTCACAAGGAATCAAGACAAAAATGAGGTTAGGTTGTACCAAGGAGAAAGGGCTCCAGTAAGCACTCCTGGCTCTGAATTACGATCTCGCCCACAACACAGTGCTACACTCTCGGAGTAAAGATGAATTAGAAACGAACAGAATCCAGCTTCAAGATCTCGAGCCCTTTTGGGATTAAAATGATTAAAGATCATAAACACCCCTACCCATCTTCCAGAAGCAAAAATATATCCCTTCTGAAGGAAGATAACATCATTCTCTCTCAAAGTAATTCCTACTGTTTTTCACATACAATGTTATCACGTAAGATAACAACCACCGTCACCATCAGTTGTACTAGGAGAGAAATTAACATCATGAAATATAGAAACAGATCAACAGGGGAACTAGATAATTGAGGTATCAGACACAGGCTTTAAAATAACTATTTATAATACAAGAGAATCAAAGATCTGACAGAGAATTTTCACAGAATATTAGAAAATTTTTGAAAAAAGTGCTAAATGAAAATTCTAAAACTGAAAAAAAAATACTGAAATTGAGAATTCTATAAATTGGTTTAGCAAATTAGACACAGATGAAGAAAAAATTGATAAACTATAATACAGATTAGAAGTAAATTCCCTGAATGAAGAGAGACAAAAGGATAGAAAATACGGGAAAACAGATGAGAGGCTTAGGGAATTAAGCAAAAAAGCCTAGCAAATATAATTGGAATCCTAGAGGAATAGGGGTAAATGGAGTCAAAACAATATTTGAAAAGAAAATTGAGTTTTCTAAAACCAGTAAAAAATATTTTTGAGTCATTAAGTAATGATGAACAACTCCACAGAACATAATTGTATGTGCTAACATAATCAGCAGAATCAATGTTGTGGGAAACTGCAAGACAAACCTATATCTTCAATAAATTGCAAGAGGAAAAAAAACATGAAGCAGAAACCTAGAGTCAGAGGCTTAAGAAACAGATTAAGCAATTACAATATGTGGACTGTAATTGCATCCTGATTCAAATGAATACACTTGGAAAAAAACAATTGTGATATCCATGACAATTGGAAATCTGAAAAGTAATTGAATATGATGAAATTATTAAAGATTATTATTTTTGTTTGTTCCATTGGTATGACAATGGTTTTGTGATTATGATAGAACAAAAGTTTGTATCTTTTAAATATACTGACATATTTACAGATAAAATGTTACAATGATAAACTGGAATTTGCTTAAAATAATACAGAAGTGGTAAACTGATGGAGTTACAAATTAAAGACAATTAGACATGAGTTAATTGTTGAAACAGGTTCATTATACTTATACTGTAATATATACCATATATACTTATAAGTATACCATATATAAGTATACCATATATACTTATACACAAGCTCATTATACTTTTCAGCTTTTTGCCTGTGTTCAAAATTCTCCATAATGAAGTTTTATAGATTGCTTCCATCGCAAGACATCAGCCACCTTCATAATCTACCTTTTACTGTCATTTTTAAGACAATGTAGAACTATAAAGTATATGTCAATATACTATTTCACTTCACTCTTCAAGGCCATGTATAATAAACTTATCAAAGGTTAACTAAAACTCTAATCATTAAGCTGCATTACTCTAAGCCAAGTACTACTAACTTTATAATAGGAAAAGCTTAAGAAATGTAAGACTTTCATCGTACCTAAAAAGTTAAACATGTTAAAGAATTTTGATTACATGAAACATAATGCAGACTTAATTTGTAATCTTGTCATTAATTTGTATCATTTTATTTGATGGTAGTCATTATAATTTTTGTTTTTGTGGCTGGCCGGTACAGGGATTGAACCCTGGAATTATAATATGAAATAATTCAAAATAAACCCAGACAAAAGCAACAATCTACAATTTTTCATTAATTTAGACTTGGCCTATTCCAAATTAGGTATTTTACCATACCATGTACTCATCATAGTATGATATTTACAGCTTCAAGTATTATCTTTCTAATACTTTCTTTAAAGTATACTCAGTACCACATTCTAAAAGCTTAGAACTTTGCCATGGGGGAAAAAAGTTTTAAATGTATTCATGTACGAGTAGACAAAAAAAGTGAATAATGCCTTTAATCTAGCTTTGACTCTACTGAGTACTTAAAAGGTTGGTGGATATACACACACAGATAACATAAAATATGAGTAATCACATTTAAAATATAAAGTTTTTAAAAATAATTTGTGATTTTATATATCTTGTATCATAGATACTACAGATTAAAGATTCTATCTACAATAGACATTTTCTGGGAGTTGCTCCATGGGAATTCCAGAGGAACGCTGTAATGTTTATATTCTTTGGAATCTGTATCTACAAGTAATTGAAGTCAGCATGGAAACCAAAATAAGCCTTTCAAGTATTTAAAATAAATTTTCCAACATCATACCAAGGTGAAAAGTGATTTGTGGTCATATTTTCATTCTTTTCCAAGTATATACTGCAAAGAATTTCTCATTAATAAGGCTTTACATAAAATTATATGTTAAGTCATGACCTGATATTTCCTGCTGATAGCTTTAAACTATGTAAGTGTTACTTTCTTATTAAATGCTGAGGAGAAAGAGAAAGACTCTTCTGACATATATGAGAGTCAGTCAGCTTCTGGACATTTGTAAAAATTTTATCTAACTTAATTTTATCTAACTTAATGATGGGAACTATGGTACCCAAATTCGCTATTAGAAAAAAAGAAGCACTGATCTACAACTACTTGGGATCAACAGATTAGTCATCTAAAAGCACTGCTTTTTTATTAATCCCTTGCACCAAAAACTGTCAATGGCTTATCACTGAAAATATACCCAACCTCCTTAACTTGTAATTGGTAGATCTCACTTAACCTTAACTCTTCTTAGTATCACAGTAAAAATTACATCCCATCCAATCTGGACCTCTAGTTCTCCAAACATGCTTTCCTCTTCCTGACTCCTATGCATTCTGAAATATAAAACAGACCTACAGTGTCAAGGTTGTTCTATATATTACAAAGACAAAAAACAAAAAAAAAAGAAAATAGTAACACACACACATACTTTATGTGCTTAAATAACCATTTTAGACTTAACACCAACCTACAAAAGAAAATGTCTGATCAAACATCTGTGAACAGAAGAAAAAAATCATTTGATTTAGAAATTCTTAAATAATTATGCCTCTTAAGCATTTTTAATCATATGGATTTTCGGTACAACAGAATAAACTTCATTAAAGAAAGAATAAAAAATGGCTTTCAGTTTAGACACTGCCTGTATAAAAGAACAATGATACTCATATGTTGGTTTCAGATGTGAAAAACCCCATATAGCCACATCAATACAGAACTTACTGCTTCTTAACAATTCTATTACTGAGTTTCTCAATATATCCCAAGCAGGACCATTGCAATTTGACCTAAAATTTAAACGGGAAACTTTAAACTACAAATTCTAAATGTGAATATTGAGGAGCAAGCAAAATTATATACCACAAATACTGAAAAGTAATAGCTAAAGAGGAAATAACATTTACTCTGTACTGGGCTCTTGATCTAGCACTTTCCTATGTACCTCAATCTTCAGAATGATCTGGTAAAGTGGGCTCTATTATCATCCCTATTTCACAGAAGAAACAACTGGGGTCCAGGAGACAGTTGACATGGAGCCAGTCTGGTTCAAGTCTGTGTTTTTAAACACTACACTACTTGCTTCTTTAACTGAAAGTTATTCCACAGGGAAGTAATGGAAATTATATTTCAATATATATCTATTTCCTACAGCAAGAGGAGAGTCCTCAAAAGAGAAGTGAAGGAATATTGGGAATATCACATTTTAGTAGAAACAGGGTTTTATTTTTGAAAACAGAAAGGCTAACTACAACATATCAATATTTTAATTTATTTGGCTTAGAACATGAAACATTTTTAGATGTCAGTACCAACCTGTTTTAATTTGTATGTGAATAAGAAAATATAAAAATACATATTAAAGAGTACTACCAAATTTTGAAGCTTTATTGTATTCATCACCTATATATGTACATAAGAAGAAGTCTTTTTAAATATTTTCCAACCAGGGACCGTCGTGGATATCAACAATGATTTGATGCTAAAACTGATTTTCACCATTTGCTTCATATAGTTTATTTATTTAGTTAAAGTACATTCCAATCTCCTCTCACCCGTTCCTTATGGCTGATGTTTTAATAAAGTGCCACTGGGTATCAGACTGATCAGACTGAAAACATCCCAGAACTTCCAACCAGATAAAGGGAGCCAATGAGAAGGTCACGAAAAGGGACATCAGATGAAAGTCGAGATCTGTGGAAGTTTCATACCAGTTCTTCCAGGTACTCCAAAGACCATTTTACAGGATACGGTCACTTCTCAAAGCAAAGTAGGAGCCATTATGTCTGAGGACTGGTCGTTCTTTTCCTGTGGGTGTTTGTGGAATTTTCTGCACTGTTACTCTTTATGGATTCTAACAAGTTTTTAACTGTTTCATTTATAGGCTTTTTCCCTTTCTTTCTGGCAAGAGCCATTCCATTTGCTATAGATGGTAGCAAGAGGGCTGCCAGCCCCCAGGGCTGATTACTTGATGGCGATGGTCTATCCTGACCTTCCTGTTGTAAAATCCAGGCACTTTCTCTGGCCAAATCTACAAACTTCTGCAACTGGCTTTGACTTACATTTTTACTTATGTTGAGAGAAGTTTCAAAAGGATTCTGAATGTGCAGAGGAGAAGAATCAGGTTTGTTTTGTTCCTTTCCCTAAAGATTATTACACAGAAGAAAAAATGTATAAATACATGAAGAGCTGAAATATAAGAACAGTTCGATTAATTTAATAAAATGTCAAAGACATATAAAATACCAGCATTAAGTTTCTTTCTTTCTTTTTAATATATATATTTATTAAGAATATTCATGAGATACAAAGCTAATTGTCACCCCTCATGCCCATGATGTGAGGGCCAGGTTCATAATGGGGGCATACCCATTACCAGAAATTACTTTTGTAACCCATGTCCCCACCCAATTATCCCCCAGCCTCCCTTCCCCTTCTCCTCCCCCCCATCCCCCCTTTGTAGCCCTATGGACATTCACTCCCTCTGTAAGACCAACCATCTCACTACTGTGGTCTTTCCTTCCTTCCTTTCACTCTTAGCTCCCACATATGAGTGAGTACATGCAGTATTTATCCCTCTGTGCTCTGCTTATTTCACTTAGCATAAGTTTCTCCAGGTCATGCATGTTGTTGCAAATGGGAGTACCCTTGTTGTTGCAAGTGTTGGGTACATGTGCATGTTGTGTGTGTGAAAGTGTGTACTTCTATTTTTTTTCCTGTAATAGTTTAATGAATATTTTTTGAAGAAAAATAATTTAGGCTTATAATCTATAGATAATTACGTCACTATTTAGATGAGAAGTATGTGGATTAAGTCAACCAACAAAAGTATGAGGGTACTTCAAAAACATCATGGAAAAATGTAACTAAAAGATAATATGAATCTTTCCAAGAACTTCTGTAAGCCACTTGTATTTTTCCAATAATGTAACTTTTACCTAACAAAATAGAGCTTGAAAGAAAAAAGAAAATAAAAAAGAAAAATGGCAGAAAATAAGTTAATGCATTTATTTTTGAGACTTGCTAAAAACACACCTATTACAGTAGGAAAAGAAACATACAAAACGAGAATCCTTACATTACATACAGTAAACCAATATTTCCCAAGTATAAAATGGAAAAGGAAGAGAAGGAACAAAGGATTATTTATTATTCATTTAGAACACTAAAAACTTTCTATTACTTTCCTAAAAATCAACAATGAGGCTCTGCCAGAAATAAAAAGAAAAGCTAAAGCTATGAATCAAATAAACAGTGGTAAGCCACTGTTAGTCTATATATCTTTTCCTCTTTCAAATGATACCACAAATATTTCTCATATATTACAAAGCCAGCGGTCAATACTCTCCAGTGTGCACAGCACCTGTTTACTCCCTAACATCTTTCATGCCACTGCTCAGCAGGGGTTTTGACTGTCTGTCATCTCAGAGCTCTATAGTTTAAAAAAAAAAAAAAAAAAGGATACAGAATGTATGTTTGGTGACCCTTTTCTTATATTGCATTCAAGAGCTTTCTGTCCTCTTTCTCTCTCACCTCCCCACACTTTTACTTTAACAAAGTCTCCATGAACAGGATAAGAGTTAGGGAAGAATTAAAAAAGGAGAGCTGAAGAAACAACAACAAAAATATCTGGGACAGTCTGTGTTTCACGAAGCCAATCTTAAAAGGTTTGTAACCAAATATCCAAATGCTGAAGAGAATAAACTCAAACACGGAGCTATCACAAGTATCCCCACTTATAAACAAATTTTGCCTAGAATTCTGCCCTGATTTTCTTTTTTAGAAAAATGTCCATCATTCCAGCTACTCAGAAAAACTCAAATCATAAATTCATTTGCTCTAAATAAATTAAATCCTAAGGGTTCGAACTGAGGGAATCACTAAAATCTATCTTTGGGACTATGGATCAAATTTCTTCCACAGGAATACAAATCCAGTTTGAAAACAAATGTATGTAAAATTAGGTTTTCCAGAAAACTTTTCAGAATATATTCTGTATTTTGAAAGATACGGTATTAGCACTAAGTGATGAGGAAGTACTGTGGCACAGTGACAAAAGTAGATGTTAAAAGCTGGCTACTGCTCTTTCAAATGACTAGATGACTACTCTTAGTCAAGTTATCTAGTTCCCTGAGTCATCAACCTCCTTATTATTATCTATTATATTACTGTGCAGCTGAAACAAAATAAGAGCTGTTACATGCTTTTAAAACTAAACTAATTAAATATTAGTCCAGTAGAAGACCAGATACCTATTCACCAAATATTAAAACATTATTTACCTGTCGAATATTTATGGAATTTTTATTGAAAGCAAAATTGCCAAAATATTCAAAAAATTCCTTCAGTAGTAATTCTGCAAGAAAATAAAACAAGAAAAATAAGATGAAGGTCTGTTTCCAATCCAAAAAGGAATAAAAAAAAAAAAAAATACTTACCTAGTGTTTCCGTGTTTCCTGAAGGTTTAATTCTACTCAAGTCACGAATAAATGTACAGTTGTTGCCTTCTATTATACATTTATCTTCTGCACCTTAAATAAACAGAAATGAAAAATATTTCACACTATATTTCAAAGATATTCCCTACTTCAGAAAAGGAACCTATGACATAAATAAATCAAAGTTATCGATTAACAAGTCCTATTATTAGTCAGTGTTATATATATTTAAGGTTGATAGGATTTAAAACTCAATTTTAAAAAAAGATTTGAAACTAGTTATACTTCAGGGAAACTAATGTTACATTTACTTTTGCATAATAGAATTACCATCTATCAACAACCCAATGATTCCTAACCAATCTTTTGAGGTATTCAGTTTTCTTTTTAAAGGCAGTAAGCAAAATCTATTGTAGGTTGACATAAATAGACCATTTAATATTTTAAAACATCCTTCTCGAATTCTGGATTAATTATAAGCTAGATATATTGACAGCTTGGTCTTTCTTAACAGCTGTTTGTTCTCACTCCTCTGGCAACTCTATAGGATTTACACAAAGTAAACAGCAATCTCCACCCCCCTCCCCATAGCCCAATCCCTATTGCTGATGTGAATATTGTTGCAGCAAAGTTTCACAGTATCTGCATCCATCTGGGGAAAAGTTAGCTCTTTTCCTTGAAGCCCTTTCATTATGAACACATTTATTTTTTATTTTTTATTTTTTTGATGATGAAGGTTCATTTTTATTTCACCATTATTCAGGGCAAAATCACTTCTGCTGTATCTGTTCTGACCTCTAAATTCTTTTTTTTTTTTTTTTTTTTTTTTTTTTTTTGGTAAGGGGATCGCAACCCTTGGCTTGGTGTCGCCCGCACTGCGCTCAGCCAGTGAGC